ATTATAATATAATGTTTATATTATAATGTTTATATTATAATATAATGTTTATTTTATATTAGAATGTTTATATTATAAAATAATGTTTATATTATAATATAATGTTCATATTATAATATAATGTTTATATTATAATATAGAGCTGAACATTATATTATAATATAATGTTTATATTATAATATAATGTTTATTTTATATTAGAATGTTTATATTATAAAATAATGTTTATATTATAATATAATGTTTATATTATAATATAATGTTTATTTTATATTAGAATGTTTATATTATAAAATAATGTTTATATTATAATATAATGTTCATATTATAATATAATGTTTATATTATAATATAATGTTTATTATTAGAATGTTTATATTATAATATAATGTTTATATTATAATATAATGTTTATACAAGAGCCAGGGCCTTGCGGGCCCCTGGGGTCTCGCCACAAGGTTCATTAATTGTCAAATAAAGGGCAAGTGGCATATTGCTGATGGGTAAAATGAGTAATAATCTTTATTTGTAGTGGAGGAATCCTATGAGCCCTATGAATTGTATTGTTTAATATTTTTATTATTTTATTGTTTCCCTTCTACGTGACTTTACCGAAAGAACCAAGAATATGATCTCTATGAAGTTATTTTTTCACAGATGTCGGGTAACAGAACCACTCAGGCCCACTCGCTCCCCATTACCTCCATCTCCCTTCTCTCCCTCTCCTCCCTCTCCTCCTCCTCCACCTCCCTCCCTCCCTCCTTCAACTTTCTCCCTCCACCCCTCCCTTCCCCTCCGTCCCACTCACCTCTCTCTATCTCTCTCATTCGCTCTACTCCCCCCCCCCCCTCTGCTCTCGGTCTGCCGCCAGCTCCCCCACCACTTTCCCCGTCACCGCTGCCACCCTCCACACCCCGCTCCTGACCTCACATCCCACCGCTCCCTCCACGTCCTCGTGCTCCATCCGCCACTCCCATCCTCCATCCTCTCTGCCACCTCTCGTAACTTAAAGCCCTCTCTGGGTGGGTGAAGGATGGGGGGGGGGGGGCTCAACACCTCCGCCCCCGCTACTGAAGACTCGGCACGCCCTGTAGACATCCTTAACACATCACGGGTCCCTTTTAGTTTGTTTTGCTAGGATGAAAGTGCGACGCGAAAAAAACAAATCGGAATGGTCTTCTTTGGTTCTTTCGGTAAAGTCACCACGTAGAATGAGAATAAAATAATAAATTGATCAAATAAAATAACACAATAATATTCTCACGACGTTTCGGCCACAACACAAGCGGCCTTCATCAGGTGAAGGGACGAGACTGTCTGGTAGGACAGCGCTGGAGTGAAAAAAGCCACGTTCAGATCACGACCTTTAAGCTGTGTCAGAAGAAACAAAGCGCCTTGACAAAGGAATTAGCATATAATTTAGCATTGCAATGCCCGAGTGATTAGCTTGTGACTGGTCACAGAAATGACTATGTTAAAGTTAAATAATACACATCTGCAGAGGCACCCCTTGACAAAAAAATTAAATCGGAATGGGTTTCCTTCGTCTTATTCTGCTTTCGGATGGCATCGTGAAAAGCAACAGTTTTGATTGTTTTTCTTCACGATCGTCGTGAATGTATGCAAAGGTTCCTTATCCAGTCCAATGATGCGGTTGACGCGGCGTGGATGTCGGCGATAACGCCAAGGCTGTGCATGAATGGAGTTACGGAGCATGTATCGGTGATGTGCTTAATTTTTTGTGCAAACTCCACAAGTCGCAGTTGAGCGTTTTCCTTGATTCCTTGCGAACGGTGCCTATTATGGCGTTTTAAAATCCTATTGTTTTGTTTCTCAAGCAAAGGGGGGAAAAAAAAACCTACTCCGAATTTCTCATGTGTTGAAACTTTTTGTTAGCATAAATTTTGATTTAAAGCTTTCGTGACTGCAGTGATTCATATTCTTGGTTCTTTCGGTAAAGTCACGTTGAAGGGAAACAATAAAATAATAAAAATATATATATTAAACAATAAAATTCTCACGACGTTTCGACTGCAACAGAAGCAGTCATCATCAGGTGTTAAAACCAACGGCAAGAAACATTTGAAAGAAGTGGCGGTTTGTATTTATTTATTTACTTTTTAAAACGTTAGCACCGCGGATAGCGATTTGGCAGTTTGTTTAGATGGAAGAGTCCATCCATGTTCGGAAAAGAGGAGGGGGGAGACGAAAAAATTAATGTATGCTGTCTGAAAGCCACCGTTAGCGTGAACGATCAATTAAGACCCGAAATGGTTTATCAAATCCTTCCAATGATTGCTAAGCCAGAATCCATCTTCTCGGTTGAAATTGTCTCTGTGTTTGGTTAGCATGTTAACATTGACAGTTAACACGTTAACATGATTCTCGGGTGGCGTCTCCTCTCCTCTGTTGGTTCGTTATTGTGCCCACTCCGATCGACTCTCATCTGGCCCCCTCCCCGTGTCCCCGCCGTCTCTCATCCGTAAACAAAAGAGCTTCGTAGCTCATCGGATTCCTCCTTGTGCAGTCTAAAACAAAGATCCCGGTCTTGATTCGAAGCTTTCGTCACTGCAGGAATCCATCACTCTTTGGTTCTTTCGGTAAAGTCACGTGGGTAGAAAATAAAATAAACCACGACGTTTCGATCGCAACACACAAGCGGCCGTCCTCAGGCGGAAAAAAAAAGTATAATCGAACAGTGGAACTGCCGAACCAGCGAGAGAGCTGTTACAACAACAAGGAGGTTTTTTTTACGTGGCGATGGACAAGCAAGCGGGGGTCTGAGCTGGAAAAAGAATTCCATCCCCGGACGCAAGCACGTCAGTTGTGTTAATGGGGGAGATTAGGGAGAGAGGGATTAGGTTAGGGAGATTAGCATGAAATGAGCTTCCGTTGCCGCATAAGAGTAGCGTCCCCGCATATGCGCACAACAGCAGTGTTAATGAGAGATTAGCACCATGAAAGTGCAATCCAAAGGACGTGTAATCATGAGAGATGCAACCTCCCTCCCCACCCTCCCCCACAATTCCAAGCTTCTCTCTCTCTCTCTGTGTGCCACCAACCCTCTTTCCTTGACGCGATGACACACGGGCACATTCCGTCTTTGCTCTGTGCTGTTGAGCTGTTATCGCGTTTCGTGTCTCTCCGTTCTCACCCCTGACGCTGTTGAGTCACGTGCCTCCTCGTGACTCCGTTCCTTGTTGTGCGTAACCTACCTTATTGTGGCCCATCTCTATCTCTCGTGACCCGTTCATTCATTCGCACGGTATCTCTATCGCTCACAAAGACAAAGATCCCCCGCATAGCCTTGCCAGACTGTAGGGGCAAGTGCAATAAGCGAGGAACACTCTATGAAGGCCGGCACGGCACACGAGGGGAGTGGGTGGCCAGCAACCACGCCCGGGCCGCCTTTGTCTCCCCCAGTGACGATGTTCATTGCACACCGCACCGGGTACTCATTTGAGGCTGAGTCGACCTAGGGCAGGCCCAGGACCGGGCTCAGATAACCGCCACCGGTGTTTGGCCGCGAGAGGGAATCGAACCCGGGTGGTGGCGGGTTCCGTAGCGCAGCGTAGCGCTAACCGCTACACCACCGCCCCCCGCACACGCACGCCGGGGGTATCCCTGATTTGTCAAATGTTCCACCCCCAATCCCCCCATAGAGTTGCGCATTGCGAGTTGACTTCACCCGCAAGCACTTGGTAAACGCACGCACGCACGCGCGCACGCACGCACCATTCCGTTCGCTCGCCTGCGAATTGAATGGTGCTCGATGCGAAATTGAGACGAAATGATCCGTCCCCCTCTGTTGTCGCCTTCCTCTGAATGCTGGGGACCCAAACGCTGTGAGCGAGCACCTTGATTAGAAGCTGCTGGGGCGGCTAGCAAGCGCATCCGGTCCCCCCTCTAATCTCCCCAACGCCGATGTTCTTACACACACCGCGTCTAAGTCTGAGTCGACCTAGGGGAGGCCCGGGACCGGCGCAGAGAATCGTCAACGGCGTTCGGCGGTGAGCGGGAATGGAACTCTCTACTGGAGGAATCTGATGAGCTGTAAAGCCCTTTTTTTCACGCATGTCCAGTAGGGGCACGGGGTCAGAACGTTACAACAACAAACACAACACAAATAATATGATGGAAGTGCAAAGTATCGGATAGGTAAACAAAATCACTCAAATATATTTGTTTTGTTGTACCAGGTATAGCCCACTGAGATACGCGTTTTTTTATTAGACACACCACTTACAAACACCCCACAGACAAATATCCCCCGTGTAGCCATTAACAGACTGTTGGGGCAAGTGCTGTTCGCGAGCACAGACACACCACCCACGCACACACACACCCCACACACCACTCACATCCTACTCACACACACCACACGCACACCCCACACACCCCACACACCACACACACCCCACACACCACACACACCCCACTCACACACACACACCCCACACACACACACACACATCCTACTCACACACCCCATACACACACATCCTACTCACACACACCACACGCACACCCCACACACCCCACACACCACACACACCCCACACACCACACACACCCCGCACACCACACACACCCCACACACCACACACACACCCCGCACACCCCTCACACACCCCACACACCACTCACATCCTACTCACACACACCACACACACACAACACACACAACACACCCCACACACACAACACACCCCACTCACACACACACCCCACACACACACACATCCTACTCACACACACCACACGTGCACCCCACACACCCCACATCACACACACACACACCCCACACACACACACCCCACACACACCACACACACCCCACACACACACAACACACACCACACACACAACACACACCACACACACACACCACATTATAACCTCCCCCCACCACCCGCCCAACAGTGAAGTGCAGGGGAGGGCTTCTCAGAAGTTTGCTCTCCGCTACCTTTTCCGGCACCACCACCACCACCACCACTCACCCCTCGGAGCGACCGCGGATGCGACTGTGCAACAGCAGACGGTTGAAGTAGGAGTTCGCGTCCACAGCATGGTGAGCCATGAGAAGGGCCAGCCAGCCCGCCACCCACACCATCGTAATCATGCCCGCTCCGGTAACCTCCTCCTCCTCCTCGCTGAGCGGCCCACTCGAGTTCTTCCTCGCGGCCTGAAGCTACTGCAATCGACAGAGGATATGCTGTTTTTGAAGTTTTTGCAGATTTGATTGGAGTTTTGAATGAACGTGTTGAGGAGCGTGGTGCGCGCGCGTGTGTGGTGTGCGTGCGTGGTGTGTGTGATGGGGTGAGTTGGGTGAGTGTGAGTGTGGTGTGTGTGTGGTGTGTGTGAGTGTGGTGTGTGTGAGTGTGGTGTGTGAGTGGGGTGTGTGTGTGAGTGTGGTGTGTGTGAGTGTGGTGTGTGAGTGGGGTGTGTGTGTGTGTGTGGTGTGTGTGAGTGTGGTGTGTGTGAGTGTGGTGTGTGTGTGTGTGGTGTGTGTGAGTGTGGTGTGTGTGTGGTGTGTGTGTGTGTGTGGTGTGTGTGATGGGGTGAGTGTGAGTGTGGTGTGTGTGAGTGTGGTGTGTGTGTGTGTGTGTGGTATGTGTGTGAGTTTGGTGTGTGTGAGTGTGGTGTGTGTGTGTGGTATGTGTGTGAGTTTGTTGTGTGTGTGGTGTGTGTGAGTGGGGTGAGTTGGGTGAGTGTGAGTGTGGTGTGTGTGTGGTGTGTGTGAGTGTGGGGTGTGTGAGTGTGGTGTGTGTGAGTGTGGTGTGTGAGTGGGGTGTGTGTGTGTGAGTTTGGTGTGTGTGTGGTGTGTGTGAGTGGGGTGTGTGTGAGTGTGGTGTATGTGAGTGTGGTGTGTGTGAGTGTGGTGTGTGAGTGGGGTGTGTGTGTGTGAGTTTGGTGTGTGTGTGGTGTGTGTGAGTGGGGTGTGTGTGAGTGTGGTGTGTGTGAGTGGGGTGTGTGTGAGTGTGGTGTATGTGAGTGTGGTGTGTGTGAGTGTGGGGTGTGTGAGTGTGGTGTGTGTGCGTGTGTGGTGCGTGTGATGGGGTGAGTGTGAGTGTGGTGAGTGTGGTGTGTGTGTGTGGTATGTGTGTGAGTTTGGTGTGTGTGAGTGTGGTGTGAGTGGGGTGTGTGTGAGTGTGGTGTGTGTGAGTGTGGTGTGTGTGAGTGTGGTGTGTGAGTGGGGTGTGTGTGTGAGAGTTTGGTGTGTGTGTGGTGTGTGAGTGGGGTGTGTGTGAGTGTGGTGTGTGTGAGTGTGGTGTGTGCGTGTATGGTGTGTGAGTGGGGTGTGTGTGTGTGTGTGTGAATTTGGTGTGTATGTGGTGTGTGTGAGTGGGGTGTGTGTGTGTGGTGTGTGTGAGTTTGTTGTGTGTGAGTGTGGTGTGTGTGAGTGTGGTGCGTGTGTGTGGTGTGTGAGTGTGGTGTGTGTGAGTGTGGTGTATGTGAGTGTGGTGTGTGTGTGTGGTGTGTGTTTGTGGTGTGTATGTGTGCGTATAATCACTTGTGGTGGTTGTGGTTGTTACGATTTAGCGCGAGCGGAAAATTAGGAGTAAATTGGGGCACATGCAGACGGTGTGTGTGAGTGTGGTGTGTTTCGGCGTGTGTGTGAGGATGTCTATCAAAGATTCACACGTACTGGGTTGGGTGGCTGTCCTGGAGTGGAGGGGATGGATGATGATGATGATGGTCGTGGTGGCTGTGTTGCGTTCTTATAGCTGGCGGTGGGGCGGGGGGGGGGAACGAACGCTGACTTTTGGGGTTAAACACTCCTTCAACTTCGCATGAGAGGAGCGATGCCCACGGATGATGCGGGGATTGATTGCAGGGGTTTATAATGGCCAGGGAGCGGTGGGCGTGTGAGGGATGTGGGGGGGGGGGTACGAGGCGGTTGCAGTCGGGAGGAGCGGTGGCGCAGTGGTTAGCGCTGCGTCACCGAGTCTCGCTCACGTGACACAACACACCTGTTCCTTGGTTGGCTTCTCTCTGGGTCGACTAAGCCTCTCCCCCCCCTCCCCCCCCCAAAAAAAAAAATTGTAGCTCCGATTAGCAACGGTTTGGCTACGTACGGTGCGAAAAAATTCACACAGTACGTGCGCTGTGTGAATAATCGCCGCTGTGGAAGCAAAGGCGTCCCTGGCGTGGTGCTGGTCACACCCGCTCCACGCCCTGTCGTGCAACACGTGTGTGTGTGTGGGTGTTGAACTTCTTTCGCACCGTACTTAGCCGACCGTGTTAAATCGGAGGCTGCGGGCGGATGGGGTGGGTGTGTGTGTGGGGGGAGGGAGGGAGGGAGGGAGGGAGGGAGGGAGGGAGGGAGGGAGGGAGGGAGGGAGGGAGGGAGGGAGGGAGGGAGGGAGGGAGGGAGGGAGGGAGGGAGGGAGGGAGGGAGGGAGGGAGGGAGGGAGGGAGGGAGGGAGGGAGGGAGGGAGGGAGGGAGGGAGGGAGGGAGGGAGGGAGGGAGGGAGGACACCGACCGCCTGTTCGAAGGCTATGGGGGGTTGGTGGGACGTGGTGAGAATCAGGGGCGTGATGGTGGTGAGGAGGAGGAGGAGGGGTGGGACGGTGAGCGAGTTGGACGGACACACGCGCGCGCGCACGCACGTGCTGACATTCACACTCGTCTTGGGGGGAAAAAAAAATTGCAGTTGACACATGGCTGACCTGTTTGTAAAAGTTATAGTTTCTTAATTTCGCGTTCTCCACATCCATCCCTTGGGTTCCCAGTAGTTTAAAAAAATATATAACTTTTATTGGTGTCATTAACAAATAACTTTTCCACTCACGAGGAGACGAAAACAAACCTAACTTGGCCGTTTAATTTATTCTCGTTTCGCCAAAGTTTGAGCGCAGACGTGAGTGCCCTTCAACAGTCAAGCACCACGTGCTACACCACAAACTCCGTGTGCGCGTTTGTTGTGTGAGCGTAGGTCGACTCGGCCTCGAATGACTACCTGCTGCGGTATTTAAACATCGCCACGGGAGAGACAAAGGCGGCCCGGGCGTGGTCGCTGGCCACCCCACCTCCTCTTCTTGGCCTTCACAGGTGCCACTCGCCCAACAGCGCTTGCCCCAACAGTCTGTTAAGGGCTACACGGGGGACGTTTGTCTTGAGCGCAGGTCGACTCCGCCTCAAATGAGTACCTGGTGCGGTCTCTAGATCGTCACTACGGGGGGAGACAAAGGCGGCCCGGACGTGGTTGTTGGCCACCCCAACCCCCGGTCTTCATAGGTGCCACTCGCCCAACAGCATTTGACCTAACAGTCTGTTAAGGGTATATGGGGTGGGTAGGAGGAGGAGGAGGAGGTGGGGTTGGTGGAAATCTTTGTCTTTGAGCATTGCCCCAAAAGTGACGCCCTTCACGCAGAAGCGGAATACTCACACACGAATAACCACGTTTTTTGGTTGCGTTCTAAATGTCGCGAAAAAAACGTCCTTCCCGACGCACCACGGCGCCGTCGATCTTCGCTCGCGTTGGCACCGGCACGCGACGGGGTGACGGGGACCGCCGCCCCCAAGTCCCCCTGGGCGTTTACGCCCGCGATTGAACTTCTTCTTCCTCCTCCTCCTCGGCGCGCGACGGCACCGCACCGCACCGCATGTCGCCGACCGTGCTCATCGGAGGTGGCGGGGGAACGGGCGGTCGGACCGAGGATCGCGGATTTCGTCTGGCCCACCGTGAAGGGGCGATGGCTCCGTTGCACGTTGATGCGCGCTAACAGCGTGCGGAGCTTTGCCGAAGGTCGTCAATGTTGAGGTCCGCTGGCCGCGACGAGAAGGGCTTCAAGCGGAGAGGGTCGGTGTCATTGTGCTGCCCCCCCCCCCCACTCTCTGTTGAAGGAGTGCAGGCCACGGTGGGTTAATTAGAGGGTCCAATTGCACTGCAGTGCCTTAGAGTATCGCTGCGTCTCTATGAGTTTCTATGTGTCTCGGATGGGTCTCTATGAGTTTCAATGCATCTCTATGGGTCTCTATCAGACTCTATGTATATCTATGGGTCTCTATGTATCTCTATGGGTCTCAATGTATCTGTATTGGTCTCGATGAGTCTCAATGTATCTCTATGGGTCTCTATGAGTCTCTATGTATCTCTATGGGTCTCTATGAGTTTCTATGAGTCTCAAAGTATCTCTATGAGTCTCTATGTATCTCTATGGGTCTCTATGTATCTTAGATGGGTCTCTATGAGTCTCTATGTATCTGGGATGGGTCTCTATGAGTCTCAATGCATCTCTATGGGTCTCTATCAGACTCTATGTATATCTATGGGTCTCTATGTATCTCTATGGGTCTCAATGTATCTGTATTGGTCTCGATGAGTCTCAATGTATCTCTATGGGTCTCTATGAGTCTCTATGTATCTCTATGGGTCTCTATGAGTTTCTATGAGTCTCAAAGTATCTCTATGACTCTCTATGTATCTCTATGGGTCTCTATGTATCTTAGATGGGTCTCTATGAGTCTCTATGTATCTCGGATGGGTCTCTATGAGTCGTTATGAGTCTCTATGTATCTCTATGGTTCTCTATGAGTCTCTATGGGTCTCTATGAGTCTCTATGAGTCTCTATGTATCTCTATGGGTCTCTATGTATCTCTATGGGTCTCTATGAGTCTCTATGTATCTCTATGGGTCTCTATGTATCTATATGGGTCTCAATGTATCTGTATGGGTCTCTATGAGTCTCAATGTATCTCTATGGGTCTCTATGTGTCTCTATGTATATCTATGGGTCTCTATTTATCTCGGATGGGTCTCTATGAGTCTCTATGTATCTCTATGGGTCTCAATGTATCCCTATGGGTCTCTATGAGTCTCAATGTATCTCTATGGGTCTCTATCAGACCCTATGTATATCTATGGGTCTCTATGTATCTCTATGGGTCTCAATGTATCTGTATGGTTCTCTATGAGTCTCAATGTATCTCTATGGTACTCTATGAGTCTCTATGTATCTCTATGGGTCTCTATGAGTTTCTATGAGTCTCAAAGTATCTCTATAAGTCTCTATGTATCTCTATGTATCTCTATGGGTCTCTATGGGTCTCTATGTATCTCTATGGGTCTCTATGTATCTCTATGAGTCTCTATGTATCTCTATGGGTCTCTATGCCACAAGGGGGCAGCCAAAGATCCACAGGGGCCTCTGGAACCCACAGGTTGCCCGTCCACCCCCCCCCCCCCCCCCCCCCCCCCCCCAGTGTGGACCAATCAGTTTCAAGGACAATACATATATTATCATAGTATGATTTTTGTTTGCATTTTGACTGCAGGTATTGTGGTTAATGCGGTGACATTAATCCTTGTAAAAAGGTTTCAGTTTTGTTGCCAGAAAAAAGTGTAAAAACCCTATTATTATATTTTGGTACTGGCAAAGGAGGTCTAATGATGATATTGTGAACGTTGTTTATTTTATGATGTTGTTGTTGTTCTTGTTGCTACTGCTGATGTGTGATCCCAATTCAGGTACTTGCAGGTAATGTTTCAGCATTGGGATGTTTGGTCCCACACCGGTTACATTATCATGAGACCTTTTTTCTTGTTGTTGCCAGTATCAAACTTATGAAAAATAAGAATAGGTTCTACCCTTTCTGGCATCAAGGCTGTCTATGATGTAAGCCAGCCAGCTTCAAAGACAATGCATGTACGGTAAAACCTTGGATTTGCGAGCATAATTCGTTCGGGAAACGTGTTTTGTAATCCAAAGCACTCGTACATCAAAGCTCTCGTATGTCAGTTGTGATCACGTGACGCTCGGCAGACAAAGCGTATACGTGCCACTCGTATTGCAAGACCCTCGCTCGTTCATCAAGTTAAAATTTATTGTAGATGTTTTGCTCGTCTTGCAAAACACTCGCGGACCAAGTTACTCGCATTTCAAGGTTTTACTGTACTATCAGAGGATGTTTGTTTGCATGTTCACCGCAAGCACGTGTGGTGAATGCAGACTTAGCACCCTGCAAATTGTAAATGTTGTGGCTTTGATCTCCAACACACCGGTGTGCTGTACTAGTAACGAATTGGCCACGTTCTGTTTACGTGACAACCCTTACTAATTGGCTGTGTCGGGTGGTGGTGGATTTAGCGGCACATTTATTTATTTACGCGATCTAACAAAAAAAAACCCGCATTATGGATGATTTTGGTCGCGAAAGCCCTACGTGTTAAACTATCTATTTGGTGTCTGAACATCTTAACACCTGTTTCGTTGCCAGAAAGGTCAAAACCTATTGTTATTTTTTTCATAGCGGCTACATTATACGAAAGTTTTTTTTTTATATTTTTCTACGTATGTAGTGTATGTATGTTGAACTTCTTTCGCACCGTATCTAGCCAACCATGCAAATCTAGGAGAGAAATCAATGACAATGCATCTGGAGAAAATCCATTGAGAACACGGGGGAAACCGTGCAAAATTCCATGCCGAAAATGCTTACGAGTCTGGTCTCAAACCCAGGCGCTTCTTGCTTCGAGGGTGCAAATGGCACGGCTGCACCGGCCTGTTTGACGGCCGTTGCTTTTTCTCAGCTGTGAATCAAAAGTAATTCCGCGTTCACACTCGACGTTTGCCACATCCTGTTGCCGAGTCCACGTGCGCGTGGGCCCGACCAATCTACCACACGACTGCGGGGTTGTCCTCAGCGCTCTTCTACTGCTACTGCTCCCCCAGACTCGGCACTTTCGCTCGAGCGTCTCGTCGGCGGTGAGGAGGGGAGCGCAAGACTCACGTATTTTCTCACGGATTTTATGCTTCAAACATTCTTTCGCCGTCCTCGCGTTTCAAGCTGCAATGTTTCGATGGGTCCCCGTCGAGTGGAGGC